ATCCTAACTTATCTCATTCTGTCTGAAACAAGCTCCTCCCATTTAATCAGAATCAGATACTTTATTAATCCCTGAGGAAAGTATGTGTGTTGCAGTTGCTCCAAGACAGTAACAATAACAGACTGAACTAAAAATACAAAATGTTACAGAACTGACAAATTTAAGAAATAGCACCAATTCTAAATATCAAGAATTTGAGAAGATCAAGATTTAAGCCAGCTTTCTTCTACCTGAGGATGGCGGTCATCATGACCATATAAGGATAACTGCTCATGATGACATCATACAGAAGAGTAGGGTAAAAAAACTGTCTGAAACTGAGTGTTTGGAACAGTCTGATTATTTTAAGTCTTTAATATGAACAGCTACAGAAACAGGAGATGCATGAGAGACAAGGAAAATGAAAAGTCTCGTGAAAAAATAAAAAGCTTTGCAAACTTTAGAATGACAGATTACTATTTAAATATGTTTCACGATAGGCTAGTTAAACAACACTGAGTTCAGACTCTTCGTACCTCAGTGCTTGGCATGAAGCTCACAGATCTGGAAACAATAACTGGTTTAAGTCATCGTTGAAGGAACGTCTGACCCTTCTCTAACTACATTTCAGAGAAACACAAACCTGACTTTTGGGAAGAAAATGTGAATAGCTGTTGATTTGTGTCAGCTGGAATAATTAATTCCTTTGTTCTGTGATTGCCAAGAGAAGTGGGAGAAGTCTTGGCAATCAGAGAAATGACATATTCTTATTGGCTGTCAGGGGCGGGCTCGTCACTGATGGTGACTTAGACCTCAGAGAGCTCAATCTTAACAATATTTCCACAGGTGATGAAATATTCCAGCAATCAGTGTTTTCACATCATGCAAACATCAAACTTTCTCTTAGATATTAGACACAGAAACCGCCTTTAGTGGAAACTTCCAGGTGTTTGCTGTCCTAGCTCGCATCTTCCATTGTGTTTGCACAGTTGCTGTTATGTTACTGCTGCAGCTGTGGTGGAAGTTTAGGGCTTGTTTTGTGCTGCCATGATCAAAGTATCTTAAAGCTGGTCTTTCCTAGCGCTTGGTAGACGCTTGGTTTCTTCATGTCTGCCTCTTCCTCAGCCTGTCATGCAGCGACTTGATGGTCCACGCTTGTTCCTCTTCCTGTTCCTCATCACGTCTGTCTTCAGCTGCCTGAGGCTTTCTTGGAGCAGCGTGTCTCGGGAGGCTATCATCCTGATGTACTAAGCTCCGTGTTTCACACACATGTTGGTTTTATTTGGTCTGCAGCACCTGGAGACGTGTCTCACAGTCGAGGAGTTGCTGCATAAAAACTGAGACTAAATAAAAACTAAAAGCAGACAAAAGCAGCTTTTCTGAGCAGAAAGAAGGAAAGTCACAGAGAGTCGATGAAAGGTGAAGTCGTGCGGTGCTCAGACCTTTAGTGTGTTTGTTTACAGGCGGAGACCTTTCTGTGACCTTTCCCTCTCCGATGGACACACAGATCGTTTCAAATCCACCGTCTTGTTTACTTTTACATTATTTAGCTCGATCATTTGCGGGCCCCACAGAGTCGGGCCAAAACCTTTAACACAAACTTTAAAAGGTCAAAGTACATTTCAGCATTCAGAATGTGTCAGGTGCGATTTAGTGGAGGAGAAATGACCAAAGTGGCCCGTGTATCAGCAAAGTACGAAGACACAAAAAACTCCTAAAAAGCTGGAATTCTGCAGAAAATGTCGTTTTACAAAATGCACTGACGAGCACATCTCAAGACTTCATTATTTCTTCACAATGACATGTCCTCCCCGCTAAGAAAACAGAACAAATCTACGAGAAAAGAGCGAAAAATTACACACTGTGTTCAAATCTCTGTCCAGCATGCAGGTCATGAGTCCGGCTGGAGCCACGTCTCAGAGGTCAAAAAATCCAGCTGTGGACCATTTAAACATCTACACTTATGCCTGCTGTTAGCAGCATCATGCACATCATGCTCCCAAACACAAGAAGCAAAAGCAGCTTTTGTCACACACGAGAGTCACGAGTTGGCTTTGAGTTTTTCTTTCCATAAATAAAAACATTTGCACCAAGAAATGAAGCAGAACAAGAAGCAGCAGGTCCAGAAAGTTCCTCTCCAGAGTTTTCCACGAGCAGCTTGCATGAGGATGCAGAGGGAAGCTGGGGAGGTGCTGCCCCCTCTGGTCCTCACCGGTCCTGCAGTAACTGTTACACTGCCCGGTGACGAGAACATGAGCAGGACCACAGACTGACGGCGGCTCAGTGCATTTACTCAAGTACTGCACTTGTTCTTTATTGAAGTATTTTTCATTTGGATATTTTGGATACATTAAATGTTTTATGTTTTGTATATGATGCATGTGTGTCATCATCCGCAGCTGCAACATTAAAGTGATTTACACATTAATGAATTAAACATGACCTAGTGGACCACAGCATGCAGATTTTAATACCAAGACTTTTGCACTGTTACTGTCTGAAGTAAAGGACGCGTTTCCCTCTGGAGAAGACTTTTCTACCTTTTGAAGGTTGCCGGTTCGAGCCCCGGCTCGGACAGTTTCGGTCGTTGTGTCCTTGGGCAAGACACTTCACCCGTTGCCTACTGGTGGTGGTCAGAGGGCCCGGTGGCGCCAGTGTCCGGCAGCCTCGCCTCTGTCAGTGCGCCCCAGGGTGGCTGTGGCTACAATGTAGCTGCCATCACCAGTGTGTGAATGTGTGTGTGAATGTATGTGTAAAAGTGCTTTGGGGTCCTTAGGGACTAGTAAAGCGCTATATAAATACAGGCCATTTCATGCAGAGGCACAGGCCTGCACACGAGCATCAAATCATACAATATCTTTGATCAAATATTCTAATATTAAACAGCAAACGTCTCATAAAAATCTAAAAATAAGTCCAGAAGTTTGTTTTGAATTTTCCCGTCATCTCATAACTCGCTCAGACTTATTTAGAGCAAAGGCATCAAACTCACTTTACTTCATGAGCTGCGTCTTCAGTGGCCCGGAGCAGCGAGCCCATCGTACCAGCTTCACTTACACGATCATTTCCATGTGCAGGTGCCCACAACACAAACACAACAGTCGCAGTAAGAGCCACAGGCCTGAGTTTGCTCCACTGATATCAGGATGGCAGACAAACATTGAACTGGCACTGATTTTGTACCTGAACATGTTTTACTGAGCAGCACAGCTGCTGACATCTGCAGGGGGAGGTCGCCCCCCTGTGTCTGCATGAGCACACTGCAGCTTAAACAGCCGAGGCTCTAACAGCAGCAGTAATGCTGACGTGTTTGTTGTTTCTGCAATTATCTTCAAATGTCGTACTTTCCTAACTTTCTATTGACAACAGTACAGGACAGAACAAAAACAGGTTTATGTCCAGTGTTGATGATGTCACAGCGTCTCACACAGAGGCTGTTTGTCATTAATAGTCTCAGTAAGACTTTCACTGCTGCAGCAGAAAGAAGATGCAGAGGTCTTTTAATGACACGAATCAGTGGTGCACATTTAAAATAGACTTTAACTGCTTTATCATTTTACTTTGGTAGGTTGAAGCTCCTTTGCCTTAAACTGCTGCCGAGCATCAGGCGTCGAGCTCGCGGCTGCTGCGGCGTCTCTGAAGCCCAGGATGTTTAGACAGCGACCTTCAGCTGGTCTGTGTTTTTGGATCACATCTTTCACACCTCATTCTGAACAACACTGCTGAGACTCTGTGGGGTTCAAACTGTGCTCTTCCAAACATTTGGTGCAAGTTTTAGCAGCAGGCCCTGGAGAACGAAACGGTGGCTTTGGATGTGATGAAGCACAGCGGACCAACCACACGAGCAGACGACACCACAAATCATCAGATTTTCACAAACAAGAAAAAGTTTACTTTCACCTGAGAAGAGGACTTCGGACCTTTGAGCAACCGTCCGTCCTCTGACCTCTCAAGTGAAAATGAAATATTCTAACACTGAGTTACTGGAGCTCTGCTTCTCATGAGCAGTAAAGAGGCTTAAATTATTTACTTATGATTAACATAGATGTCTCATTTTTAGGTGCACTATTAAGAACAGTGTTAGCCCTCAGCCTCCTGGCAGCTGCAGTTATGCTATTAATTTGAAAATCCTACGTCGTTTCGTTCTCGAGTTATCACATTCACAAACTCGCCGTCCACGCCACCCAGCGAGGCGATGACATGCCCCGTGAGCTTTTTACGGCTGAGGCGCAAAAATGACACGATTTAGAATATTTGTATTAATTACAGACTTTTGTATAGAAAAGTGTCTGGACTTCTTTAAGTTGCTTGAAGACGTTTCACCTCTCATCTGAGAAGCTTCTTCAGTTCTAAGGTCAAATGGTGGAGAGTCCCAGATCCATCTGCATCTAAAGGTCAAAGGTCACTCTTTCGAGGATGCCAATGTTCACACTTTGGACAGAGAGGACAGATGGTTTGAAAGAGGAGTGAAAGAAGCATCTATGTCCACTGTGAGCGACCATCTTTGAACAGAGGCGGGGCTTACGACACCAACTGTCTGCCATCTATAATCCAGTTTTGAGATCCTTCCCAGACGCCTTAACGCCCACTCACATCCTGGGCCATCTGACCTCAGGAAATCGCATGATAAGGTGGGGCCAGGTTTCACAATGAGCTCACCCGAAACTCTGGCTGATTGTGACCCACACCCAGTTTCACACCTTGGCTCAGGTGATTAGAGGATCATCAGGGGGTCCTTTGTCCCTCTGTGGGGGGTCACTCCCACTAGGTTTATATCTGGGACTCTCCACCATTTGACCTTAGAACTGAAGAAGCTTCTCGGATGAGAGGTGAAACGTCTTCAAGCAACTTAAAGAAGTCCAGACACTTTTCTTTCCAAGCTCCTTAGACTACGATGACCTGGATGACTGAGAACCTTCACAGACATATCAGACTTTGTGGAGCTTTAATGTGAAGGCGAACAGTCTGGAAACTTCACATTAAAGGTCGACCGCTTTGTTGAAAACAAAACAAACTTGGAGTTAAAAGAGGGGCAGAAGTTTTAATGTTTAAACATTCAGCTCTTTACAAACATTTTTGCAGGAAAACGATGAATGACGGGAGACTCGGCTTCAGCTTTAATGACACAAACAGCTGTTTCACACATCAGCTCATCAGCAGCCATAAATTAACACCCCAAAAATACTTAAAGGGAACATTTGATTCTCGTGGCCTCAAAACAAGCCGACACTAAACTAAATACACAGAAGACGCATTTTCAAATGACACAAATGAAACAAAGATTAAAAAACATAACTGGAATCACTCGGAGCTGCTCGTGTCCTCACACAGAAACAAAAGCACAACATGCTGCCACGTCCAGTTCAGAGAGAAACACAATTATTGCAGTTTCAGATGATCAGAAACTAAAAACAGTCACTGCAGCAACAAACACGCAGCTCAGACAGCCAACATGCTGACCTCCTGTCACATTAAACCACTGCTCTAAGCAGATGATCATCAGAACATAAAACAGACTCAATTATTTGTATTTCACACGCTGTGAGAACATGGCGTGCACTCTGATCGCAGGTGCACGCTGGAATATTCACTTCTACTCTCGTTTCTACTGAAGCGAAAAGAGCGTAAAGGTTGGAAACCCGTCTCACCCGGGCTCCTTCACTCCTCTGTACAACCGAGAAAGTTTAAATGAAAATGGAGGAAAACTGGAACGTTCTTCCACTTCCTGCTTCACTACAAGGTGAAACGGCTTTAAAAAGGTAAAAGAAAAGGCAGGAAACAACAACAGGACATAACTGTAGCAGAGTTTACGACGATGTGCTCAATACTCCTGGATGGCTTCTTTGTAGCCTGACAGGCAAGACTCGGGGCAAACTCCAACCTTGGCATTAAAAACAATAAGACAACACACGCCGCTCACGCTGCGGTCGGGTCAGCTGTCTGCACGCTAAAAACACTCCAGAGGCGCTTCCAGACGTGTCGCTTCCTCCCACTGTAATCACACGATGAGATGAAAGCACAGGTGCCGGGTGACAAGCAGCCAATCAGAGAGCAGCCACAGAGGGGGCGACTGTAAGAGGACAGAGAGCACTTAGACGACCTCACTCCAGGATTACACGACACAAAGCTCGCAAGCTCGGCTTCTGCGACGGCAGCAGCAACATTCACCTCCTTCTCTCCACCGCGCTCCTCCGTCTCTGTCCGTCCCCCGCTCAGGTGCGCCTCCTCTTGGCTCCTCCCGGACTCGCCGGGTTGGAAGACGACAGGAGCTTCTCGGCCGCTCGACTCCTCTTCCTCTTCTCTGCCTCCTTCCCTCCACTACCGCTTCCGCCGCCTCCTCCCGTCGCCGCTGACGACAATCCTCCGTCACTTCCTCCCTTCTCCTTGTCTCGCTCTCTCTCCTTATCCCGAATGCTGCTTGTTCGCTCCGACATCTTCACAGAGGAGTTACTCCCTGAAGCAGAGAGACGGAGGATCATATTAAAACCTGGTGTGGTCTAAACTCTCCAGACTGCACAAACTTCACCTCGTCGCTTATATTCTTCTAAGACTGCTGGGACTTTAATCTCTCCTCATCTTTTCTGACTGATTTTATTAGATTTACACTTGGCTGGTGTCGGTGTCACTACTGGTAGCACGAGGCGACACCTGGAGCAGAACGTTTGCTGTGGATCCTCCAGGCCCGTATCTGCTCCTTTATCCAAGGAGGAAAAGGATGAGTGCAGCCAGAGCTACAACATGACCTCCAGCAGGACACTGGTGAGAATGTCTCTGATGTCTCTGACCAAACAATCAGAAACAGACATCACGAGGGTCGCCCGACGGCCAGACGTCCTCTAGTGGGCGCTGTGCTCTGACCAAAGTCTGACTTTACAAACTTCTGCAAGTGTCACTATCATCTGCTCAGCGAGCAGAAGCAGCTGGAGGGTGTAAGGTGTGATGGAACGACTGGACTACAGAGCGGATCGACCAACTCTAGCAGCTCCCAATGAAACCTCCAAGCCTTACACATGGTTGACGCTCTGAGTCGGTTTAACCTTTTCAGACTTCACATGCTATCAAAATGTATCAAAATGCTCTCCGTGAGGAGAGGTCAGAAATATATGTTTGATTATATCAAGCTGTGCATTATTTGTTTAAACCCAGTGGATCACATGCACATGTGTCTGAAAGCGAGCAGCTAACTCTGAATTTAAGTGTAAAAGAACCGCTGAGGCGCCAGGACGCCCCAGCTGACTGCACCTTAAATGCGAGACACAGTCTGGTACCTTCTTCATGTGTAGCTGGAGGTTCTCTCTCCATCCTGAACTCCTCTTTGGACTCCTCCTCTGAGCCCAGCTTCCCTACAAACGCACAAATTAGCGTCCGTTTAGACAAAGAAACGATGTTAACTTTTTTGTACTGGTGTAAACAATTTAAAAAAGCTGCATTTCTGACGGCAGTTCCCTCACCTTCCTTCACCTCCTGGATGATGTCATCGGGCAGGGAGAAGCTCTTCTCGTTGTTTGGGAACGGCAGGATCTCCGACTCGTGCTGCGTCACAGAGAAATGACAGTCTCAGTGGTGATGACCGCGTTCAGCGCGGCATGTAACAAACACTCAGCATGTGTGTGTACGTCCTCACCAGCGCCTGCATGTCGTACATCGTTCCCAGGTGGTCCCAGATGACGGAGGAGGAGACCTGCCGTCCAATGTTCTGACTGAACTTGTCTCTGATGCAGATCATGTGGAAGTGACGGTTCACGCCTGCAGACAGAGACACACAGCATGCACTGCATCATGGTCACTGTTTTTTCCCAGGAAACACATTAACGCATCAGCTCTTTTGCCTTCCTGCAGTCTGACGGAGCCACCTACAGGCCAGCTAAGCCAGATCAGTACATTTATTGGACCATAACTTTTCATATTAGCTGTATTTTATAGAGGAACCCAAATCCTTTATAATCCTCCTCCCTCAGTTAGAGGGACTTAGCTTCTCTACTTTATACACCTTTCTTCTTTTTTGTAGAGTTTTCTTTCTTGAAAATACTGAGTCACTCTGTTTACACATAAATCCAAAATTGGATTTTTAAATGACTTCTTTGAACTTTTTTACTCTTACAAAACTGCAGGAGCAAAAATAAAAATAAAAAAAATTGGAAAAATATGAAGTGAAACTGTAACTGTACTGGAACTTAAACAGCTCTTTTCCACATTTACTGAGCACTCAAAGCATGTTCAACTGCACACTGCATTCAACCATTCACACAGCGAGGAACCAGGCTGGACGCACAAGAAAAGTGGTGTAGTTTTCCAAACACCTGGACTTTATTTTACCCGGAAATAGAATAGAATTCAACTTTATTGTCATTGCACATGTCACAAGTACAAGGCAACTAAATGCAGTTTGCATCCATCCAGAATAAGGCTGCCACGATTACGTCGACTATCAAAATCGTCGACGACTGATTTAATAGTCGACGCGTCGTTTGAAGCTTTGTAAGATCACAAAAGACGCAGGAATAAGTAGCAGGATTTAAGAGTGTAATAATGGACTGAAACAGAAGATGGCAGCACTGCATGTACAAGGATGCCAGCTGCCGTTAAACCCCGAAGAAGAAGAAGCTGTGTCCCAGAATTCATAGCGCAGCCCAGCTCAGTTTCCAACAATGGCGGCAGCTAGTTAGTTTGAATATTACTCTTATTATTCTTTCTGGGTCACAAAATAAACGTTTAACATATTTTCAGGCGAGAATGTAGCTGTGTAAACCTCAAATATCTGCTCAGTTTATCAGGACACCACATATTTTCAAAAGCGCTCCGACGTTTTCGGAGACGTCTGTTACCCACTAGCTCGTTAGCTAGGCGGGGGCAAGGCTAACTAGAGCCGTGAGAACACCGGACTCCTGGCAAATCGTTTTCAAACCCACCGCCGTCTTTCCTACTCAGGTTAAACATGATATATGAGTCACTTAGATAACTTACAAATGTTATTGTTTGGCTTTTTTAGTATTTTATTTGTTCCTGAGTAAATCAGTTATAGTTATAGTTTTTACACAGCTGAATAAACGTCAAGCAGACAGCTGATTATCAGAAGTGTGAGATGCTCGAGAATTTACTGGTGTCCTGTTATATTTTAGATAGCAAGGAGTTTATTAAACTTCACTGAAACAATCTGCAAATTTCATTAAAATTGAATAAACTATCATCTTGTCTTTATTTTTAGTTAGCACAGACCTTAAACACTTCAAGCTGTAAGCTAATGATAGTTATATAAGAGCAGATGCTGCTGGTGCAATAAGCTGTACGTTTTACATCCAATGGATGATGATCTGATTAGTCGACTAATTGCAAAAATAATCGGTGACTAGTCGACTATCAAAATAATCGTTTGTGGCAGCCCTAATCCAGAAGGCAATATTATAGCTCTATTACAAAAATGGGTTACAATGTACACGGTATGAAGGTATTTTATGCATAAATAAATAAATTCAAAATGCATAAATGCAAAAACAATATTAGAAAAGTTAAAAGCAACAGTGGTGGGCCCTTAAAAGAAGTCAAGTAAATTGAGTTGGACTGTAACAGCAGTAAGACTCCAAAGTAACATAAGGATCAAGACCTGTTCCAACAAAGAGGAACTCAAATACTGATGAGATCAACACTAACACACGACGTCATTAAAGGAAACAAAGGCAGCAGTTGGTTAAATCTGATTGTGGTGTTGATGAGCACTGTTAGGTTTGGTCAAAGGTATCGGTGTAATATGAGTTAGGTTAGGCTTCCTTAATACTGGCCATGGGTTGGATGCAGTGAAGTAAACAAACAAAGAGCAGTAAACCTCAGAGTCCGCACAGCTCAGCTGATCTCACGATTTTTATTCAACTTATCTCGAAGTCAGCGTGTAATTCCCTCTTTGGGTTCTCTGTCCTGCCAAACACAATTAACAATCGTTTTCCTCCTTAGAATCAGTTTCACTCTTGACCTGCTAACCTAAGTGTCTCACCTGCAAGGCGAAATCTCTGGTTTTTAACTTTTTAAATAAGCATCCTCCATTAAACACCTGTTATTGCAATAAACTGAAATTAACGGTTTCCTAGTGTTTACATATTGATTCAGAGGCTCCTGAAAGCAGTCCAAGTTAAACTGGTTTAACTAGAGGAGATGCTCCAGCTAGCCGCATGCTAACGTTAGCTCTGGTCTTACCGACTGGTTTATGTCCGATCATCGCGTGGAACAGGCACACCTCCACCTCGTGGCTCCACACCACCGAGTCCTCTCCGGGAGCCAACGCCGAATCCGGCGGCTTCTCGTCGGTCTGGTTCAGCGTCACATCAGCTTCTCCCATTATTAAGGCAAAACCTAAAACTGGCCAGAAGCAAACGACCGTGCACCGTTAGCATCGGCAACCGGAAACGTAGTAAGACTTCCGGGTATCTGATTTCAAGATAAAACGACAAAAAATAGCCAGAGTGAAAAAAATTTTAAAACCGAATTTTGAGGTAAATTCATTTATTTGTTTTTAACAAATTCCAATATTAATCCTACACTTACAGTTTCAGTGACCGTCAAAGTTAAATGATAAACGGTCCGTTAAAACGCCACATAAAGATGGCTCTAGAATTTTCTCTTACAAGTGGCATGTGTTTGGCACAGAGACACCTCAGAAAAGTGAAGTTTGTTCCCCAAATCTAGTAAATAATTCAATAAAACTAAGTAAAAGTGTCTAGGGACCTAAAAGACATTAAAACTGCTTTCGTTTGAGGAAGTCGCAAAGAAAGCGACTGGACTTAAGTTTCTTTCCAAGCCAGACACTTTACTGTTTTAATTTTACTAGAGCATCAGAGATAGGATTATTTGTATTTTTTGGCATCAACATTCAAATTTATGTTAAACAATTTTATTTTCCATGATATTTCCATATTTTTAAAGCCTCAAAAGACAAATTTAAAACCAATTTATCAGTGAGTTTACCATTGTCAGACATCAGATTTAAATCAAATTACAAGCCTCAAATATATTATCTCCCCAAATTAGGAGTTCCTCAGAGATCTATTGTAGCTTCTCCGTGGTTCTCAAAACAAGACAATGTAGTTTAGTATATGTATAAATGCCCAAACAAATGAACTTTGTCGTGATAATAAAAAAAATGCACTTTTTCAGGTGCTATTTTGCCAAGTAATTAAATTGTTAAGCACCAAATCTCTAAAGGTGAACATACAAGCAGTGGATGAGGAGTCATAGAAGCAGCCAGACTCAAAGGTTATGCTTCTCTATGCGGTGATCAAAACACCAAAAGTTTTATTGCAAATAAAACGGATACAGTTGGCGCCGTAAAACGGCCGCCACCACAAATACAACCAGAGAGGAAGAAAAAAAACAATTTCAGGTACATTATATTTTAAATTAAGTGGCTACTGAACTTCACTGAGCTGAATAAGAGCATTTTGTTTTTACATTGATACAAAACTGTGCATCTCTTAATAAAGCATCCATAACAATCAATAACATTGAGAGTATTAACGTGAGGCTGATTATGTTCAGTTAGGCAGGGTTTTTCCAAGCATCCGAAAACTTTGTAATTATCTGCAACTGCATATGATTTTATTTAAAAACAAGTTAGGACCGTTTTCCGTTTAAACCTTTACTTTGAAACTCTGAATTACATTAAATTGCAGTTGTACTTGCATTAGGTTAAGCTCACTGGCTTATCCCGTGGAAACAGTTGTAGGATATGTTGACATTATGGGAAATGCAGTTTCAAGCAGCAGATTTTGGAAATGAACCTGTAACACAGGCCAACAGTCACCATGTCTCCGATTCTGCTGAATTCTTTTTGGCTATTTTTCTGAGTTTGATCCTAGTTTGAGGATGCTTTTGTAAAACACCCTGTGACACTTTGCCTCCTGGGCTCATTCTCACTGCTTATCAAACGAAGAAGCCACGGAGCTCCTCCCATTGCACCTTTTCACCAATAAGGTGTGAGAATGATGCCTCTTGCTGGGCAGTGAAGGCAGTTCAGTCTGCCGCCTCCTCCTTTTGCTCTTCTCCTCTCACAGGCCAGAACTTTAAGACTGAAAACCAAGAATCCAGTTTTTATTTATCCACACAGGAAAAAGTTCACCTGTGCAGCTGATTAAATTCCAGACACACTCCAACTGAAAGGGACAGCAAGGAGCGAAATTGAGGGAAAATATTTTGTACCTTTAGTTTCTAACTACTTTTTGTCATCATTATTTATTTATTACGAGTGGCTGCACTGCAGTATTCACACCTGGAGCTATAACTAATTATTCTCACTAAAGAACCACAGTTGGAGTTCAAGTCGCCCCCTCGTTTTCAACAAAGAAATCCAAACTGTGCTTTTGGTTTCTAAACATTTTCCACAAAACCACACTGGCATTTTTCTGTCACCACAAAAAGTGTATCTGTTACACGTCTGAGCAATAAAGCTCCAGAACCTTCATAAGAGACTGTAAATAAAAGATGGACAGCCACTGTGGCATCAGTGAGGGCAGGTCTGACGTGCTCACTGGCCACAGACGGGTCAAACCTGCTGTTTCACATTTAAACTAAGCTAGTGACCGACGCCGTAGACCAATGATTGCTAACGTGTGGGCTGCAGCGATAACAGCAACTCAGTTTTACTCAAGTATGTAAGTTAAATATTTATATAAATTTATATCCATTCATCCTCTTCTGCTTATTGTCAGGTTCACAGGCAGGTTGGAGTCTATCCCAGCTACCATTGGGCGAGAGGTGGTGGTTGGATTGTTATTACTGAGCTAAATTTGCTGCTCTTGTATTCAGTTGTGTCCCAGTGGCAGCTGGTCACACATTGGCCTCAACGCTTTATAGCAAACAACCTGCGTTGTGTTTTTTGAAGAAAAAACAAAACAAAAACTAAATTAATACTTTCTCTTGAATTTCAGAGGGAAGCTTTTAAGACTGGATGAGCCTCGTGGGACTTTGTTGCAGCTCTCTTGACTTTGGGGAAGAGCCATAAACTATTCATCTAACTAATCCAACACATTATACAACTGGAACTCTTTCATCTTTTATAGACGTGTCTACGATATTAGCTCTCATCTGTGCACCAATTCACCTCCAATTTCCTAATTCCAAAACAAACCAACTACTTGATCCTCGTCAGGAACAGGAACCATATTTTAGGTTAAAAACCTATAATACTCGGACTGTTTCTACTTCCTTTCTCAGCCTCAGCTGTACGGCCCTACGACCTACAGCTGCAGGGTTTAACTTGAAGCCACGTTAGCACCACAGGTCTGATTGGAAAGCAGATTTATTCTCTGGCAAACAGCTGGACAGACAGGGAGAACTCACATGTACAGTCAGCATGGAGACAAGTGGATGTAAACACAATACAGCTTTAACAAATGACAACATAACTGTATACCTAAAAAACTGAACCTGTTAGCCGGGGTTTCCCCCTCTTAAAATTCTGGCCTATTATAAGAAACAAATACAGATAAAACCAGTAGAAGAAGCTGATGCTGACGGAGCAGACGGCAGTGTGAGCAGCGCCTGGTGAGCGGAGACACCCGGAAACAAAGAACCACATCTGGAGAGTTCCCACGCCTCCAGACTTTTTTACAGGATCAGATTCTGGGGATCATCACAATCGTCAGCGGTTCTTTGTTTGAGGGTTTCAGAAAAAAAAAAAAGTAACAAACAAGAAAGAAAATGGCAGCAGCGCTCGTTTTTCCGTCCGACTCGTCCACGCTCGGGGCCGTGTAAAGGCTAAAACAAGCGCTCCTTCTCGTTTCTCTGCCTATCTGAGCGGCGAGCTGCAAACACATGATGAGATCCGATTGGACAGGTGTTCCCTGACACGCCACTTCGTGGTCCTGTGTGAGAGGATTCGTGGTAGGCACCGGGTCCCAAAACGACTTTTAATAATTACAAACATCATCGTTGGCAGCGCGACGGCAGTCGTAACCACGGGTAACAGTCGGCGGCCGCTCCCGTGGTTATCAGAGACAAACGCGTTGGCAACATGAGCCCCGTTTCCCCTGGCTGACAAGCTGGAGAGACTGGAGGGGGCGGGGCTTCAGTGAAATGTGGTGGCAGCAGGCTGATGATGAAAAGTGTTTGAAGGAGGAGGGAGGGCAGGGGGTGGGGGCGACATGGATATTATTGGTCCTTCTTCTCTGATTCTGTCGCTTCCTCTTTAGTCTCCTCAGATGACTCCTCATACCTGAAGAAGAGAAGAAGGACGATGTTAGTGTGTTTCACGAATATGAATCCAATGCTGCAGTCCCTCTAATGGCCTCTGGAGGCTCAAACACCCCGATTCAAACAGTTTGGATTCTCGCCAATCTCCACCTTAAAACAAATGAAAGGTGAGCGATCGCTTTTCTAATAACTCACCCGTTTAGATTTTCTCGAGGCCTAAAGTTACGGGTGCAGCTGCTTTGCAGCGTTTGTAAAGATCGGTGGAACAAACAGTATCATCGTGTTTCATTTCTCGGTTAATTAGCAGCGACCTGTGTCTGTGCACTGCACCTGTCTGCTTTACCAGTGCTAATCAAGCTAACAACACCCCACCTTTGGATCAGCTGAATTTTTCCTCCTTCATGATTTTATTAATGCTATAAAAGGTGAATCTGATGGAGCGATGGTTTCATGTAAGCAGGTTAATGGGCTCATTAATGGGCTTTTTACCTGCCCAGGTGAGACAGAGAAGGGGACAGTAAAGATAGAGGGGCGGGGCTTCTACATCGAGGTGGGTTGTAATCTGCGGTGGCGCGGGGAGGAGCCTGTCGCCACAGAGACGGCATCCATGGAGCTAGCCAGGCTTGCGGGAGAGCCGCTGACGGTTGGAAAGGAAGTAAGTCTGGGAGAGGTGGGAAGAACTTCCTCTGAAGACTCATAGCTAACCACGGGGGGGGGGGGGGGGGGGGGGGAGCAGAGGAAGGAAATGGAGACACAGAGGAGATAAAAGAAAAATACAGAGAAAGAAAAAGGAGATGATAAAAGTAGTGAGAAAGAAAGGAGGCAACGACAGAGTGTGGTAAATCATCTTAAACTCTAAAGGTCTAAGTTACTATAGAGCTCTACTGCCGTGACAAACGAGGAGGACGGAGGATAAAGACCGACCGGAAAGGTGGAAGAAGAGAGGTGGGAAAAAATGTAAGAGAAAGTACAAAACAGACATGGGAGCAGGGAGTGAAATGATGAGGTCGATGAGCAGGAGACCCTCAGTCTGCTGACAGAAGCACCTGAACATACAAAGGAGCCGTCATAGACTCTGCATTTAACATGGAAACTGCTGCTCGGAGAACCTCGGCGGTTCCTGCAGCGCAGACTAAACTCCAGACTGAGAGATCCTTTAAAAACTGAGGAGGTGCTCCTGTTTTTAAAACTCTATCATTAAATCAGGCCCCGAGG